TCTCAAATTAAGAACTTTATCTACTGTCCCACACACTGACACCAGCCAACATTTAAGGAGATAAAAATTTTATTACAAAAAGTATCAACTGAAACATGGTCAACCTGCTGTCACCTTTCTTTACATCAACAAAATAAAACCTAGGATGTGTCTGAGGATTTTACTTAAAAAAATCCATTCTGCACTAACAAAAGTTCCTTCACGCAAAATGAGAATCAACCTGCAGTTAGTCAGAGGATTTAGCTGATCATATCACATCAATATTTTACTCCAAGAGATTTTAAATGGTGTCAGAACCTTAAGCCATATTTATTTTTGACTCATGAAAACAGAGGAAGCATTGGGTCCTACTGGATTTAAGATGATCTTTTGGTGACTAAACAATCACATCATCACGCTGATTAATGTTTTTACCCTTCTGACTCACCTTCAGTCTGGATTGTCTCCTGGCATTTGATCCAGCTGTTTTCAATGAACAAAGTCTCATTACAGTGTTTCTGATGTAATCAAAAATGCCAGAATGAAGAACCTTTAATGACATCTGTCTTCTTGGGTATTCTTACTATAACTGGTTCTGAGCATAGTTGCATCACCATCAATTTTCATATCAAACATAAAAAGTCCAAGAATCAGAACCTGGCAGCACAGGTCACTTTCTACGGTTGGAGCGCAGATGTCTTCTGATGATCAGGTGATCGCTCTCTTTGTCTTCCTCATTTCCACCTGGCATCTGACAAAATACAAACTGACATTAGACCAGGGCTCTCATTTGTAAAGCTGGCATGCACACGAAAAAGGGCCAGGAACTTATATCACCTTCCACACAAAGGTTGTGATCTATAATACATGGGTCATGCATAACTTGACTGGGGAAAAGATGTGAGATGGGAAACTGAAGCCACACTTCTCAGACATTTGATTTCACTCAGTCTAAAACTACATATTAAATTTATTATAAGCTTTCAAACAGCTGATTCATTCATCACACTCACCAGTGGAAACATAAATAACACTGCTGTTTATGAAGTACATATAAGTGTGAGCATTCATCACACTCATCAATAAGAGTGACATTGCTGGAAGACATTCCAAATGGGAAAATCAGGAAGAAAATTCAAACATTTCAGGCCTGATGTGATAATGCACTCTAGTTCTGCCAACTAGAGAGCCATAGAGAACAATTTATCTTTATGTGATTCATAAAGAGAAATTACTTGTTGGTGTGAATATGCAGTTTTATAAATCTGAGTTTATATTGGTCGTACCTACATACACTTTTGTCATTGAATCCCACACAATCCTTGATAAATGGGACCCCTAAACACTACAAAAAAAAACCCTCCATAGCAAGTGTTGTGAAATGAATGCCATTCAACTATGAACTAAGATTAGGACAAACTTCAACCTCTACAGAAAAGAGTTGCAACATTTTTCCTCAAAAGGTGAAAGCATGGTGACTGAAGTGTTTTCAGTGTGTACCCAAGTTCATCTGTCTGTCTGTGGAGCCTGTTTCTGTATACCACTCCTCCAATGTTAAACCTCATCATAGTCTGCTCCATTTTTAAAGGTAATGAAGGTGCCCACCCCAAACTATACCTGGTTTATTTTCCTGTTACAGAACCTGCTGTGCACAGGGAGTGGGAGTTTTCAGATACAGCATACATACACACCAAAGTTGCAGCAACTTAACCACTTCAGTAACACTTTATTTGAGGGGTGTGCATAAGACTGACATGACACCGTCATAAACATGAAATAACACACACATTATGCACACATGAACATGAAGAAGTCTTTATCAATGTTTATGACAGTTGTCATGAAGTGTCATTCGGTAAAAAATGACACTTAATGCAAAGTTGCATTAAAAGTCCATTAAAAGTGCCGACTTTGCATGATTTTGTAAATAATGACAATTTAATGCAAAGTTGGCATTTTTAATGGACTTTCAATGCAACTTTTAGAGCAACTTTGCATTAAAATTGTCATTATTTACCGAATGACACTTGTTTATGATAACTGTCAAACATTCATAAAGACTTCTTCATGTTCACAACAGGTGTTATGTCATGTTTATGACAGTGTCATGTCAGCCTTATGCACACCCCTTCAAATCTCCAAGTCTCACAGTTGTAATGAACTCAGTACAGCTGAAATAGTACCAATTTTGATCAGACAGCAAAATACAGTTTTCTTGACAAAGAAAGGAGTAGAAGGTTAAACAAATGGAAATAACCTTCGAAACGACAGGCTGCCAATGAGATTTATTATAACTGACCCATACCATCAAGATCTTTTTATTAAAAACTGTTTCATGAAAATATTTGTAAATGAATGTAAACTATTAAGACTGATATCAGCTCAGGTGCTGAACTATAAACAGGAAATAGTTCAATTTTAATGGTTTGAATTGAATTATTCCTTGAGAGGAGTCAACACTGCCAAAATGACTCACGGTGTGTGGAGAGTCCAGCAGCGGAGATGAGACATCCAGCTTAAACAGCTTCTTTCGTCCTCGCCGTGGTCTAGTTGCCGTAGTGACGGCCTCCATGAACGAGGCAGGATCACCTCCAGGGACAGGAAACTGGTGCTCATGTCCAAGAATCACTACTTCACCTGAAATCAGTTCTGAGCAAATTTTACTCATTAAAGATTGATGGTTCCAGCATCACACCCATCAACTCCATCAAACATAATCAGGAAACGGTTATTGCAAATGTTCAAAAATACTTCAGACATCTGAGACCATCAATCTGGACCCGAGTAGCAGACTGAGGCCAGGCCAGCATGTGGATCCAGAGTCTGAAGCACCCAAATACAAACCTTCAGAACACATGGTTCCACCCAAAAGGTCAAAGAATCAGATGAAACAGATGATGGTAAAGCTGACCTTTAACCTAAAGCCTTTTGCTGTACAAACCAAAGAGAACTAGCAGTTAAGATCTTCTGAGAGTAGCCAGGTTAAAATTGACATAAGGCCACCTGCCGCTCAGTCCAGTGGATTGTCAGTAACTGACCAATCAGCAGTTTGGTCAGCAATTTGTCCCATAGTAAACACCCCTTACCTGATAAACCCTGACAAAGTTGTCAGGGTTTATCATTACAAATATGCTGCAGTCTTAGAGGTGAGGTTAAAATAATCAGAAAAAATAATTACAATTTGTCAGTGAGGAACATCTACTTAAAACACGCTTTACTAGAGCATTTAGAGCACAGAATAAAGTTTATTCTATTAACAAAACTCTTAACAGTCTGGGAAAATGTCAAAGATAGACAAATGCTGACCTCATGATCATCTGAATACAACCGCGATCAACGGTATAACGACAACATGTTAATCTGTATGAAGGTTTTTGTCAGCATTACATCGTATGCTTAGTGGTTAAATCAAAAATTAATGCATCAAGCAGAGACCAAAACAATAAATATGAGCTGTGGCTACAAATCTGTTTTCATTAGAGTTTGTAAAGCAGCAACTTTTCAGGCATGTGGTAAAAATATTCATACACAATTTGACATAACGTGATCAGGTTGTGTTCAGATACATACCTGCTGTTTGTAAGTGCAAAATCGCTAGAAACAATATGCCGAGAAGAACAACGACAGAAAACATGGCTGGTCAAATACTTGGAAGATGAAAAAAATAAATAAATAAGAAGAAGAAACAGCCAATGGGATATTGAAGATAAAAACATAAAAAAACCATCCCACCCCATCTTTTATAGGTTGGTATGAAACAGATTCATTTTTTTTTTTTTGCAGAACAATTTAGCTCTCCTCAGACCCTCAGGCTTCAATATCTGTTTTTCCGTGGATTCCCAAAAATAACCTCAGGGACCTGATATATGTTTTAAGTCATGACTGTATTTTATTTCTTAACTTCTTTGCCTTGATGTTGGCGAATGAGGCAAAAATGGCACAACAAATGTAACACAGCAAGTTTCACTAACTTCATCTTATAACTATGTTTGTTTGTCATGTGAATTCATCTAGAGAACCAGAACTGAAGTGAACAAGGACAGATAATCCTGGAACTTTAAGGTATAGAAACCTTTCTATAGGAACAAACCTTTGCTGTGGAGAATGGATGGAGAGTTCTGGATCAGTTCTTCAATCTTCTGCAGCATACCATCGTCCTGCAGCACAGAAAAAACAGATGAAAACCTGGAGAAGACAAGTGCTCTGAGATCTACCTGTTAGAGGGTCCCCTACTAGTTTGTTGCTGCAAGCTTTCTCTTTAACTCTGTTCCTCTTGTTTTCACTGAACACCAAACCCTGCGAAACAGACATGGAAGACATGACTGCAGCCTCCAACTTTAACTCTGCTACCACACATTCAAACAGACCACACCTTACCTCTATCTCACTGCTTTTCCTTTTCCTCTTCACTGTCTTGGAGAGCTTCTTCCTGTCAGCCATGGTGGACCGCAAAGGAGAAGCACAGACATCCTGAAGAAAAAAAAAATTCCTAAGTGTCTAAAGCTGCTTCACCAACACACTGTGACAGACGTGATCACAGCAGCAGGATTCCTGCAGAGTTTTATGTGAAAGACACAGCAAACATGTCAGTGTGGCAGAAGACAAACATAAACTTAATGAAATGAGCTCGCCTCAGTTCATTATTTAAACACTTTAAAAAGCAGCAGAAGCTGAATGCTGAAAAAAAGTGGTAAGCTTTTTTTTTGATCAAGAGCAGAAAAATATATCTGAACAGAACAAACTGTTTTGGGAGTAAAAATAAATATTGTAAAAGTCACGGCTTTATGATCAGTCCTTTTTCCTGCTGGTTTTCAGAAAAGCCATGGCTTCTGGAATATGGTTGCTCTTTGTTGGTTAGGTTTGATGGTGTGTGCATGACCAGCAGACCTGGTTCTTCTCTGGTTAAGGTAAACATTACCTGAGCATCTCTGTGCAGATTCTCCCTCTGCGCCTTTCTCCTACTCCCTTGCCTCCTCCCACTCTGATTCTCCTTCTCCTCCTCTTCAACCCTCCTGTGCAGTTTCTCCTTCAGACACTGCAGCTCTTAGAGTGAAGACAGAAAGAAAAATCATTTCCTGACAGTGAATAAAACACGGAGATTAGATTTCTGTAAGTTTCATAGACGAAGGTTTTTTGGCATTCAATTGTACATTTAAAAAAATTTACATATTAAAAGAAATTTTGTTGCAGGGCTCCAATGATTATAAAATAAATAAGGAGTAATAAAAGTATCAATATAAAAATATACAATAAATAATTAAATTAATTGCAGTTTAGTAGTCTTATGCCATGAAGATGTTGTGAAATATGGTTATTCTGCTTTTGAAGCTGCTGAACCTTTTCCCAGAATGCAGCAGGGAGAACAAACCATGCTGAGGGTAGACGGTGTCTTAAAATTGTCCGAGCCCTGGACAGGCAGCTTCCTTCAAGGATGGAAGGAACCTCAGCCCTGATGATTCTCTCAGCTGTCCTTACCACTTTCTCTACACGTCGCCAGTCAGCGGTGTTGCATGTGCCAAACCATACAGAGATGCTGTGGTCAGTATACTCTCCATTGTCCCTCTGTAGAAAGTGGTGAGGATGGGAGAGGGGAGGTTTGCTCTTCTCATCCAACATAAAAAGTGCAGATGATGTTGAGCTTTCTTCACCAGACCAGAGGTTTGGAGGGATCAGGTCAAAGTGTCAGTATCCAAAGGAATCTAATATTCCTGACCTGCTCCACTCCTCATCATTGATGAGTAGGGGTGTGTGACTTGGCAGATTTTTCCTGAAATCAACAATTTCTTTTGTTGACATTCAGGATTAGATGGCTTGCATCACACCAGTCCACCAGATGTTTCACCTCCCCTCTGTAGACCACTTTTTTGTTGTCCTTGATGAGACCCACCACTGTAGTATTGTCTGCATACTTAATGATGGGGTTAGTACTGAACCTGGCTTGGCAGGTTCAGAAGAGAGGTGGGCTCAGTACATAGCCTGGGGAGAGAAAGTGCTGAGGGAGATGACCCTTGAAGCATTTTTACCAACCCTTTTTCAAAGGGTTGGTAAAAAAAAATTAAAAAAATAAAGTAAAATAAAATAAAATAAAATTTTTACCAAACCTTCAGTGGATTCAGTTTAACAAGGCATCTTCAAAACCACAAAGACTTAGATTTAAGATCTATAATTCTTAAATCTGGGCACATTTAGGACAATTTGAAGTCTAAAATGGAGCTCATTAAATCAAGACCATCACCAACAGCCTGTGGAATTCAAACATTCTCACCTATGAGCAGCCCTTTCCTTATATGGACCTTGCTGTTTGGTGTAGCAGCTCAGTAACTTTATGATCAACAACAGATCCAAGGCAGTGCTCCAGCAGTTTTAGGTGAAGATGACACATAAATCTGCATTATTAATGGTTCAGAACTTAATAAAAACATTTGATCTGGAAAGTTAAACTATCCGAAAAAAATAAGCCACCCTCTGATAACCCGCAGAGTAAAGTTTGAATTTTGATTATTAAACTGAAAGTAATGTGGTCAGAAAGCTGAAGCTTTATTGCCACTTATTCACAATTTTACTCAATATACTGTAAATCACCATGTTGGTGACTGAAGAGATGGTTGTCATGGGAAACTAGAGTTTGGGTTTATGAGCAGCAAAAGCATCTGGTACCCTGAAAGCAAAACACAATATTCTTTGTTTAATTGTTATTGGTTTTTTTAACTTTGGGGAAAAAAAAAAAAAAACAATGTCAGTGTTTACTATTGCATTACCAAGCACTTTTATAACTAGTCAAAGCTCTTTAAACTAGTGCCAAGTTCATTCAATCACAAATATATATGCACAAATAAGCACACCAGTAGGCAACTTGAGGTTTGTCCTTTGGCCAAGAGCACACTGGCATGTATCAAAAGGAAAGAGGAATCCAACCCACAACTTTCTGACTGAATAAGTTTGATTTTACTGCACCAGTCAAAAATATCTGACTGGACTAAATTTATTCATCAACATCTGAGAGCAGCTGTGACATAGTAGGAAAAGTAGTTTTGCTATCTGAAAGTTGTAGGTTCGACTACCCCTGAGCAAGGCAATTTATGGATCTGGGATTGAATGGGGCATTTTAACATCTTCACATCTGGAGGAAATATGTTAGCCAGTGACAGAAACAATTGAAGTTGAAGTATGGATTTTGGGGGCGGAGCTTGATGAGGGTCATTTGACGGTGAAGCTGTGTGTGTTACCTCGCCTCAGAGTCTCTGCTTGCTGTCGGCTATCCTCCAGTAGTTGCTCCTTCTCCAGCATGACTCGCTGCAGTCCTAAAGCAGAGGACAGGTATCGGCCAATCAGAGCGCTCCTATCACTCGGGTCGGTTCTAATCCGTCCTCAGTGTTTCTGTCCGAGTATCCAGGTATCAGGTATCATTCAGAGTGTAACCATCAACACATCTGTCTCTCCACCTTCCCCTACCTGCCACCTCATCCTCCAGTCTGTACTGCAGAGCTCCACCCTCTGACTCTAGTTCTGCCCTCAGATTCTGCAGTTGCTGGCTCAATTCTGCTCTCTGATTTTCCAACTCCTGCCTGAGCACCACACAGCTGCTGTTGCTGAAAGAGCAGAGGTCACAGAAGGTCAAACAGAGGTCAGAAGGTTGCCATGCAGCTGGCTGGAGGCTGTGCTGATCACCTGAGAGCCAGCTGCTCTTCCAGTTGCCTCTTCTCTCGCTGCAGCTCTTCCATCTGTTGGGAGATGTGAGCAGACCTCTGCTCCGCTGCTTCACTCTTCTTCTTCAGCTCCTCCATGGCAACCACATTGATGCTGCTGCCCTGTTCCTCCTGCTGCTGAATCAGTCAGTGGGTCATCAGGAGGTTTTTAACATGAACAACATGAGCCACTCATAAAATAAGAGGAATAACCTTGACTTCCTGTCTCAGACACGCCACTTCTTCTGTGAGACTTTTAATTGAGGAAAAACTCTCCTCTAATTGGTTCTCCAGGTACTGAGTGCGCAACTTAGTAAAGTCTAGCTGCTTTGACTGGCTGTTGCACGTGTCAGTCTGCTGTTTGAGCTGCATCTGCAGGGCAGTTACCTGGGGAACCAGCATGATCATCAACAGCTGCAACAAAAACCAACCAGAGAAGGAGGAAGACAAAGAGGAAGAGAAAGAGGAGGATAAGGAGCAGCACCTCAGTCTGCAGCTGGAAGATGCCATTCACAAGAGCTTTGTTCTCCTTCTGTAGCCTGGCTGTTTCCTTCTTCTCCACCTCCAGAGACGAAAGCACAGAGTTCAGACACTCATCCAGATCTTTAGGAAGAGAGAGGAGACCATGGAGTAGTTAAATCAAAGTTGGTTCAGGCACGGTAGCCTTACCATCTCTCCCTGCTCCGCTGGGTCCCTATTCCACTTTTCTCCACTGAGAAACAGTATGACATTTGAGGAGGATTTTAAATTCAAGTGAGCTTTTAGCCAATGAACAGACATGCTATGTCTTATAATTATGACTCGTTTGGAATAGCACTTCCCACTTCATACTGGAGGATGAAGAGAGCATCCTCCACTATACCCTCCACAGGTCTCTGTGAAGGGCATAGTGGCCACATGCGCCAATAAGCTGATAATCCTATTGGATTATTGAAGCTCATAGTGTCAAACTGGTACATTACAAACGTCACAAACAAACATTAGCGATTTGGTAAAAGTTCAAACTTCAACAAAGTCCACACCTCCAGGAAGCAATGGTTTGTCAATAACAGAGTCCAGACCCTCTGGAGGAAGCAAAGTGTGGGACAAGAGGCTGGTTTAACCAAACTAAGGTTTCTGAACCTCGTTGTCATGTTTTAGATGCATTTCTGCTGTGTGTTACGTACCACTACTGTCACCCTTGCTCATTCTTCTTTTGACTGGTTGCGGGAGAGTAGGGCCTTAACAATAGGTAAGTATTGATGTAAAGAAAAGGAAAAGAGAAAAGAAACAAAAAAACGGGAACCTGACGGAACACAGTGTGCTGGGGGCTTACCTTAAATATCTGATCAGCTATCCTCAACCATCTGCCATCCATTAAGAAGGGCAAGCCCGCGGGATCCTTCATCCGTCAAATGCTCTGTTCAATAGTTTTAATTTCTTAATATATACTGTGTAGTTTTTCTCCAGGGTTTTCCCCCAGTGTATTATAGGCCTGGCGGCCCGACATGCTTTACAAGCGCCACCGTCAGGCTAAGCCTTTCTTGTTTATGTTTTTAGGAAAATATATATATATTAAAAAAAATAAATAAATAAATAATTGCTTTTTTTTTTTTGTAAGCCGGATTTCAAGAGTCTCTGTTGCTCTGAGCGTTTCACTGGCGGAGTAGATTTATTCCTAAAAGATACGTTTATAGAAGATAGGTTTATAGTTTATGCATTTAAAGCCAGACCAATCACACTGCTGATGCCTCTGCGCGTTGCCTCGCGGGCTGCAGCAGCTGGATGTCTCAAGTTAACCTCAGTGCAGATCGCACACGCCTCCTTTTACTCAAACTGGACGCAGGCTGACCTATATGGATATTTACATCAACTCCCTGTAAGGAATTATGATTCTTTCCAGAGTTTTGGATGAAGGTAGGAGTTTAAACCCCACCGCGATAGTTCTGGTTGAAGCTCTACATCAGGGGTGTCAAACTCAATTTCACTGAGGGCCACTTCAGCATATTGGCCACCCTCAACGGGCCACATTGACGGTAC